CCTCGCCGCCCGAGCCCCGGAGGCCGGCCCTTCCCAGGCTGGGGCTGCGGGCAGAACTTGGCGCCGACGCTTCCCACTCGGCGCTGCCAGGGCGCGGCGTGGCCAAGTGCAGAGACCCGCTGGAGGAGCACGCTCAGGGCTGTCCGCCAGGCCGCCCGCCGGCGTTCCGATGCTCGGGTCCATTCATTTCTTTTTCACTCTGCATTCAACAACGAGCCCCGCAGTCGTCGGGGAAAGGGGCTCCTGACCGACAGCCCACTCAGGCCCCTAAGTGCTGCCCTAGCGCTATCTGGCGGGTGTGACGCCAGCCCTGAGGGCGCATCTAAATTTGTCTCCCTGCCCTTTGCCGGCCTGTACTGGGTCAGGTGGGGTGGAGTCTGGTATGGCCATTATGAGGAAGACCCTAGGAGGTGAGACCCGTTCGCCTTCTGGTTGTAGGTAGACTTAGACCGGACATCTTGCCCAGAATCCCCCCCTTGCTCCCCTGTGAGGGGGAGAGGCAGCTGGAAGGCGCCCAGTGAGCTGTGCATGTGTGGATGTCAATCCCTCAGCCCCTCTCCCAGGCCCCCTCCCCAACCCTGCAGGCTCAGGTTACCCCTGCCCTTTCCTAAAGGGCACTCGTTCCTCTTCAGCCTTTCAAAATGGAAGTATACTCCGGGGGAGGGGGAGACCCCCTCCACAATCTGCAGCCTCTTTCCTGCAACTCCTAAGAGGTGATTGAAAAGGAAGTACTTTCGGGGGTGGGGGTGGGGGTGCCTCTGGCCTTCAGGAATGGGGCTGATCCTGGAACCAAAGACATGTTCACACTTTAGGCTTCAGTGGGCACTTGGCTACTAGCCTGGTATGGCGCGCGGGGGCGGGTGGAGGGATGGATATGGAGAGGGGCGGGGCTGGTGAAGCTAGGGTGGCTGAGGATAAATGCCCAGCCTGAGAGGGGGTAAGCTGCCACTGTCCCAGCTGCCACCCAGACTCCGAGTTCACCCCAAGCCCCAGCGAAGACATCGCAGGTCTGGTGAATCTTCCAGCCCCAAGGGATGGGGATGGTGGAGGGTGAGGGCGGTGCTGGCTTGGAGCAGGATAGGGCATTTCTTTTTTCCCCGATCTGGGGCTGGGGGAGCTTGAGAAAGGTTGCAGGGGCTGGAACCAGCAAGGGGGAACTCTGAGCGCAGGCAATGAAACAGGATAGAGGAAAAGGTCGCAAATAGAGGCAGGCAGGCATGGGAAGGGAAGGTAGTTACACTTGGAGCTAGGTGGGGAATTTGGGATCTCTGAGCAAGGTCAGCAGGTCAGCAGTTCCAAACTACCACTCTACACTCCATGGGAGAAAGATGAGGCTTTTCTACACTCATATAGATTTACCATCACGGGGCAGTTCTACTCTGTCCTGTGGGGTCACTATGAATTGGAATAGAGCCGATGGCAGTGAGCGCGCATTGGGAGCAGGAAAAGGTAAGCCCAAATAGCTGGAGAAGCTGCCAGGGCTGGGATGCCCTGGCGAATTGATTGCTTGACCGGAAGTATTAACTCTGAAGCATAAGTGTAGGTCTTGGGAAAATGAGGTTGGGGATGGGGGTGGGGGCCTGACTGGTCGAATCAAAGGAGGACCCCTAGAAAGGTCGGGGAAGGGGTTCAGTTGTGATCTGGACTCCTAAGTCGGTATCTCCCCATTTTAGGGTAGGGATGGAATTGGAGAGGGGGCTCTGCCTGCCACTTTGGTCTGTGACCTTTCTGTGGGATATTTTTAGCTCCAGCACCTGCCTTCCTAGGGTAGGGAAGACTGTTAAAGGGCAAGGGATTGCTGGCTCCTTATAGGATCAACTGTCCATGCTCACACCCATCTCCTGTCCAGCAGTCATGGCCATGCAGAAGATCTTTGCCCGGGAAATCTTGGACTCCAGGGGCAACCCCACTGTTGAGGTGGACCTGTACACAGCCAAGGGTAACACAGACTTATGCTCTGGAAGACCCCAGCCCTATTTGTCCCCTCACTGCCCCACCCCACCCCAGCTCTGAGTCACCTCCTCTCCTCTCTGGGGGCCCCTACTCCAGATTCCTCCCTAGGGCCTTGTCTCCCAGCTCATGTGCCTTTCTGCACTGTCTCCTGGGGCCCTGCCTCAGTCCTGAGGGTGTGGAGGGGACTCTGGGTGGTCTCCCAGCTCCTCCAATGAAGGAACCCTGTGGTACAGGGGTTAAGAGCTCTGCTGCTCTTTAATGGGAAAGTAGGTGGTTTGAACCCACCAGCTATTGCGTGGGAGAAAAACATGACAGTCTGCTTCCATAGGATGGGGCCAGTTCTTTCGTCCTTAGGGAGTCCACTCCAGGACAACGGGTTTGGTTTTTGTGTTCAGGCCGCTTCCGAGCAGCTGTGCCCAGCGGAGCTTCCACTGGGATCTACGAAGCGCTGGAACTGAGAGATGGAGACAAATCGCGCTACCTGGGGAAAGGTGAGGAGAGGCCAATGCAGGAGGGGCAGAGGATGGGAACTGAAGCTCATAGTGGGTGGGATTGTCCAGGAAGAAGCCTAATTAGAAGACCCAGAACCCTTCTGAATTACACACACCCCACCCCCACCCCACGTGCCTCTCTAGGAGTCCTGAAAGCTGTAGAACACATCAACAAGACATTAGGCCCTGCTCTGCTGGAAAAGGCAAGTGGAGGGGTCTGCTCCCCCTTCCCTCGGCCACTTCCCCTCTCCCCCACATGCCTTCCTGCCTCCTTTCTCTTAGACATGCCCTAACTTCTGACAAATCTGACCCCTGCCTTCTCTCCTCAAACCTGCCCTTCCAGAAACTAAGTGTTGTCGATCAAGAAAAAGTGGACAAATTTATGATTGAGCTGGATGGGACCGAGAATAAGTGTGAGTGAGGGAGAGGGGAGGGGTGAAGGAAGAAAGGGGTGCAGGTGGGGGAGGAGAAAGAAAGTCCAGGGCCCGAGGCCTGGTGGGATTATTTTTGTGTCCCCCGTTTGGGGGCCCATCAGAGCTGGATGGATTTGTATTCATTCCACAAGCATTTCCTGGTGCCTGCTGTCTGCCAGGCCTCTGCAGGGCTGTGAGTGCAGCCATGAAGCTGACACATTCCCCCGGGTGGGGGGCAGGGGTCTCCCAGAGCTTGTGTGCAGGGGGAGGGGAGGAAGGGATCTGTCAGCCAGTGGTGTTGGGCTCAGGGTTTTTCCGGGGTTACCAGAGAGGGTGTTTGAGGAGATGAGAGCTCATGTATTCTTCCCACTTGCCTCCATCCAGCCAAGTTTGGGGCCAATGCCATCCTGGGCG